AAATAAAATGCAATTATCTGATGCATTTACTGCTTTGAATAGCTCACCTTCTCCTGTGCTGAACATTCTGTGGCTCTCCATATTTTGGTAGAGGAGCCAATTGTTTGAACCTCAGTTATGACAGAAGTCTTTCCTTTCTCTGGCCATGTTCACAGAGGCACGGTGCTGACTCATTTCAGCAAAATTAATGCAGGTACCACAGGATCAGAGGCCAGATCAGTTGCCCCATCCAAACAGCTCACTCAGTGCTTGAGACAGGAAGCCAAAGCCTTCTGTGGGAGTGCCAAGGATCCCTCAGTGAGGCCAAAGCTCCATTTGCTTTGTTGCAGATTAGAAAAATGTTTCTCTCATGTCACCTCAAATATGCTGCTAGTCCTCGCTCCCAACCACTAATGCAGAATTTTAGGTTTTTCGTTCATGGATTCATTCCAACTGTTTTCTATTCAATGATTTGGTTTTTTATTCACCCCGTTTAAATGGTAGAAATTAGGCAACTAGAATGTTCTAGAAAAACAATATCCATATGTTCACTTTTTAGACAACACTGAATTAGACCATTTCTTGCCTTACGAACTAACAGAAGATTATGGCCCTATCATAGTCCTTACACAATGAACACTTCTGAAATTACTTACTACCTTGGCTTAGCCTTCAGTATTTCATAGCACAGAAAGAGTCAAGCATCACCAATTTTAATCATCAGAAATATTATGGGATAAAAATGAAGGAGAGCTGTATTCCAAATTACGAAAAGATTTTTGTTTTTCTTAAATGGAGGTGTGGTTCGTTAAAAGAAAGAAGAGTCAATTTCTGTCTGAACTTTTTATGTGAAAGGAAGGTGGTTTCTTTTACGTGAATAATACCCATGAGTCAGGTGCTTTGTTTCTGCTTTGATCATGCAAGGTAGGTCTTATTCCCACCTTATAAATGGGAAAGTTGAAGCAATGAGGAGTTAACTAAATTGCCAGAGTCACCCAACTAGTAAGTTGCTGAGTCGGGATTGTTGTTACTACCCAATTATACCCGTAGAAACTGTGAAGCACAGAGAGGTTTAGAGCTTCGGCCATAGTCACACTACTCGTTATTCACTCAAACCCAGAAGCCAAACACCAGTACCACGCACCAATTCAGGCGGTGAACTGCATATATATGAAGGTAAGTCACAGAAAGTGACATTCAGATACACCACTTTTAGCCCTTATTTCCCTGGACCTTTCATTTTAATCCTAATTTTGTGCATTTCTCTAAGGTGCAGAAGCTCCCGGAGGGACATGCGCCCCCTTGGTAAAGCCTTCCTTCATTGCTTACAGCTCATTTACCTGCCTCCCTCTCAGATAAGCTCCTAGCATACCTTTGGTATACAACCTCTCTATAGTTTTAATCTGAATCTCAATTAGAACCTCCACTAAATTCAAAATATCTCTGTCTACAGCTTCCCACATTTTATCAGACAATTAACACAGGCATTACAATTATTTTTGGAACACAATAATTTCCCTGCTGGAGGGTTATTTGCATTCTTATCCTGAAAGATGTATAAATTTGTTGCAATATATAAATTCTATCACATTAGCTATGTATACTCTCCTATCCCTTGATGATGAAGAAGCACTAAAAACCAAGTCATACAAAGTTCTGACTGAAGACAGTAATGATAATGATAATTAAAGATTAAGGCATTCAGTTGTTAGAGTGCTTAACAATGCTAAGGGTAAGCAGAGAGCTGCAGCATGTGTATGCAACATGATTATATGCTAGATTATCTTATCATTCCAGAATGCTATTAGTGATTACGTAAAAATGAGTGATTATGAGAAAAATTTGAGTCTTCACATACAAAAAAAATGCTGTGGCCCAAGTTAAATGACATGGGAGTGAAAAAAATGATGAATCATTGATACCAGTTAGTTCTTGGATGTGAAATTTCTGAATTTAGTACAATGCCAGTTGTTTGACAATTTCCCAAAATTCTTACAACATCAGCATATCTAAATAAATTTAAAATAAAAAAATATAAACAAAGCCAGCAAGAGTGTCAGCTTGATCATTCCTATAGGCCAGATACAAGAAGTAAGATCATAAATATGACTGCAGGATTCTAACAATTAATTTGGTAGAATTCCATAGCAATTTTAATAGAGCTATGTGCTACATTGGCTTAAAGAATCAGGATTTGACTAAAAACCTTAATCTTCTTTCTCTAAACAAAGAGAATAAAGTACCATATTTTTAACCAAAAGCCTCTTTACACCCATTTAAAAATTGTTTTAAAGAAGCATTGAGTAGTTAAAGCTTGCAAATGCTGCAGAAATCTTGATTCTGTCACATACTCACATCGAATCTACTTGTTTTCTGTCCAAAAGCTCTTTGATGATTAAATCAAATCAGATGCCAGCAACACTGAGATTTCCAACAAAGTTACATACATATTAACAAGCAAAATACTAAGGAAAACATGTAAATCCAGAGTATAGATATGTTTTTATTTCTCTATGTTAGAACTTTTTGTGAAGACTTTAGCTTGTGGTTTTAGAAACATGCAGAAAGCTGAAAAATAAATTTGTTAGAAAAAATAAATTTCCAATTTTTTCCCATTGAATTTATGGGCAAATAAAATTTAAACAATTATGAGGAGTCACTGAATTTCAGTGAGTTGATATGCCCTTCCTTCACCCTCTACTGACCAGTAGCTCAATTTTTCTAGGTCTATGTAACAGTAGTGAGATAATCTGAAAGCAACTTGAATCACTGAGCAATTAGATGATAGCTGGGCCTTCTGGTTTACGTGTCAAAGGATAAAGGATATTTTATCACAACTCATAGGACCATAAAGCTTTTAAGTTGTTGTTCAAGTTTGTTCTTTAAAGATGTGGAAATATTTTACTTCACTGCATGTTTCTCAATTTCAACTAGACCAAAAATATATCAACATGCATGAACTATCTTTTTTTAGTGTATGATCCAATGGACTAGAATGCTCTGAATGGGTATTGTATCTTAGCAATTAAAGGGAAATCTGCTAAGTATATGAAAACCATTTCTCTGGTTTCTGTTTCCCTAGAGAGAGTTCTTGTTCTTATCTCAAGTATTTAGTGTATAATAAAGAAGCAACCAAGGATAATACAAATGGAGAAGAATGCTTGTCCATTATTAAGAGTTCCAGCACTAAGTTTGGCCATGGAACCACTGAGTTTTTTTGGATGTCTCTATCACAAGGAATTATTTCCTAATTCGTGTGGGTATCAGTGAGAGATGACTGGGCTTATCTAGCTAGATATGCTTTGTGAATTTGTTCCAATGAAAAAGCTGCAGAAAAAAAGATGGCATATTGCACTTTGCAATTCTGCAGAGAAACATTGCCCACGATATACCAAAATACTCCATAAAATTTGCTGAAATATTTGAGATAAAAAGTGACGTAACTGTTTTCCTGTTAAAATCTTAAATTCTCCCCTTAAACTAAAACCAAATTTATTTGCAATTATCTTAAAACCAATGTTATTGTTTACAGGAGGGATTTTGTTAATAAAATATTAATATTTTGTGTGTTGTTCGTAATGGATTTCTAATTTAAGACTTGCATCTTCTTGAAGTAGTGTGTAATGTGAGAATGTAGTAAAAGGCCTGTTTTTTAAAAGGGATAATTATAAGCGGACACTTGCCCCCTTTACCTGGATAAAACCAAGTGATTTTCTTTTGCTAGGTAACAGGAACAATTGCAATGCATATTACTTTTTAAACACATGGCTTTATGACTGAGAAATAATTATGAATAGATTCCTTGAATGAGACAACTTTGGACTAATGCTTCGACATTTTAATGTCGCAATTACAGCTGTATCCTAATACACATTACTTTATTACAAAACATATACAAAAATCTACTAAACCTGTCCCATTGAAAGGTATATTAAATGGGGCTTATACAGTTGCCAAAAGCTATTTCTTTGGGCAAAGTGTGTAAAGAAATTTAAAAATATTGATCTACTGCGACGATGGACAGTGATTAACATTCTCTCCACCTGGCAATTCCAGGATCTATAATGATGACAAAAATAAGAAGCATAATATGATGCTAAGGATTCCGTCTGAAAGTAGACAGCAATTTGATGCACTCAAGCAAACCCCTTTGTTTTTCAACATCCCCTTCATTGTCTTGATGTAATTATTTCAATTCACTTTTTTGGTTTGCCTGCGTAGCGATTTCTGAAAGCACAGATATGTCCCAGTAAGTTTAGAAAAAGGTGCATTCAAAATGTTATATGAGCATTTCATGCCTAAAGAAAATATCATCAGACCACAGAAGATTTTGAGACTACAACATAACAATGTTACCAGACATTTAAAAACTGCTGAATAAACCTGATATTCTTTCTCATGCACTTTATTCTTTATGAAACATTACGTATATAATTTAAATACTTTATAGCTCAGCTTATATCTAATCCTATAGACCACTGGCTCTGATGTAAAAATACAAGTAATACATACTTCAATATCTAGGGCCAAAATTAAATGAAGATGAGCAAAATTAATTAAATTATAACACTAAGACACTACAAATAATCAATTTATTAAAACTTGGCATAAAGCCACCAAAAGGAAACCAACACTCAGAAGCAAAGACACTCTAAGAAAAACAAATCTAGTTACAGATACATGCTGTTAATATTCTTTTTTCCTTCAACAGTCCTTCAGCATTTGCTTTCATTGCTACTTGAAATTCATTTATCATATTTAACATTAAATGCTAGAATAAAAAATAAAAGAAGGCAAAGTCCACAGAAATGTAGAGCTTCTGGAATCATAAAGACCCTTTGTCTAAAGAGAGGAAGTATATGTTTTATATATGCATCATCTCTGACTTGAAATATATTAAGAACTTTCCAGGTGATATAATACATTTTTAAGGAAGTCAATTCTTTTTGTGATTAAAGATTCACAAATTTCTAAATAGGTTACTACTATGTGATACCAGTTAGAATGATGCCAGTACTTACCATATGAAGAAATGGCTTTCATTGTCGACATCACCTTTAAGCCCCACATTCTTTCCTAACCGTGTCACAAAGCCGATCTGAATTAAACTGACTTTATACAAATGATTAATTTGTAATTTCCAACCTGATGGATGACAAACTGTCTCCTCATACTAATGAGAATTCTCTATCATATTCACTTCTGGCTACCTTGTATATTGTATCTTCAGTGGCTGACTCATCCTACACTCTACTCATGTAGCTTATCATTATCTTGTCCACAGACAAAATAGACATTGAATTCAGATGAGAATGCCCACGGATTTGAGAAGCTTGAGAAAGGTATCAGCATTGTGGTCCAAAAGGCATGACCACTAAGGGAAATATTTTAGCTTGTGTGAGTTGTTTTCCTCCTCTAGAACTAAGTCAAAAAGACAAACAAACAAAAATCACAGTAACTTTTTGTGATGTATTTTCCTTAGTAGTTTATTTTGGGGGATCATTCTTCATAAGAATTGGCAAAAATCCAGATCAACTTTACACATTGTTCTAACACCTTTATTTAAAAATTATATGACTAACTTCCCCATCTAATAAACTACTTACTTTCTCTTATGTTTATTAACTTTGAAACTACTTAAGCATTTTGTCTAATTAGCTTTACTCTGAACAAAAGAATAACCTGATTATAGTAAGTTGTTAATATGAAAATCAACACAAGACCTTTCTGATTGAACATTCTCACTTTCTACCTCAAGACAGGTGTTCAGTATATATGCAAATGTTGCAGACAGATGGCTTCTTGCATTGTACACACTATAATGCTAAGATATTTTGCCCCTCATTACAACTTGCCAAAAGTTATCAGTGCTGCCTCTGCTATATATATTTTTAAATATTTAACCTTCAGTAAGATAATCTGCGGTGCTTATCTTAATGCTAAGGAGACAAAACAACCCAAATATTCTTGTCAAGTTCAATCAAAACTTCCTGCTTCTTGAGTTGTCACAATTCTGGACCTAGACTCCAAGTTCATAAAAGAAAATGAAGCAATTCACAAGGCAGAGCTTCAGGTTATGGTGGTATCTTAGAGCCACATTAGTTATTTTATCCGCAGAATGTTATACGAGCTCCAAACCTTTCACCAGAACAATATTTTAGGAATTTGAAATTATTCCTGCACTTCTCACCACCCAAGAATACGACAGCTTGTATTAAAAATAGTATGCATGCAGGAATTTCCCAGTTAGTATCCCCCTCAAGTTTTAAAAACTCAAATTATTGAGTCTTCTTTCTAAGAACTAGTGAAGAGGTTTACGAAAACATCCATTGAACTATTCATGTATAATTCTCTAACAAAAATCAGTATTTCCATTCATACAACATATTAGGACTTAATTAAAATTACCATATTCAGTGGTCAGTCTTCACCTTTCCAAATATCCTTGTCCAGTATCCATAACCATGCACTGCTCTGTCTTCCCTCATGCTTCTTTTATTGCTGAGTGAGGCGCTCGCTCCTTCATTAAATAGCATTAAAAATAGACTGCACAGAACTCCCTAGTGGAGCATGCTCTAACACGGCTAATACCACAGTTCTCAAGGTAACCATACTCAACTGGGATCTAAGAGGGAAAGTCACTGGGAGATCAGCAATTTGCAAAGCTAACAGCACACACAATTCTGTCTTGGTTTGAGCTAAATACTGCAAAGGTCAAATCAGCAGGTAGTGAAATTAAGTCACAGAGAAGATGAAAGTCAATTTCTTTAGCTGTGTAAGTTTGTTTAAATATACCTCCTCTAAACAAAGTACTTTGTTTAATAGGCATTTTTCTAAAGTAACTTAGTTATTTTATTTATTGAATGACATAAATCATGCCCAGAGAGGGTAAATTTAAAACATGAATGCATAGCAATCCAAATGTCTTAAAAATTTCATTTAAACAAAATCAAAATATTATTGATAAGCAAGTAATCAATTATGCTTCCATATCTTTTATGATGCGGAAGCATATCCCTCAAAACATATGCCCAAACTCACTCTCCAGAAAATTTACAAATATTCTATTAGTCAAAGTGATGAAAAGTAGGAGAATGTTATAACAAAGGAAATATAGGATCAAACACAAATACATACCTTGAAAACCCACATGCACTTGAGTGTATTCATAACCTCTTCATGCAGTACACATTAGAAATGCAGCAAAAGCAATTACGGCCAAGATAGTAGATTACTCGGCTATTTGAACAAAACATAGAGCTCTTGGCTTCCAAATGACTGTCTTTCATGAAAATGACATTAACTGAAATCCTATTAAGATATTTAAGCCCCGTGGTAATACATACACAGATGATCAAAGGAGTAGTTGTATTTATTTTAAAATGTGTGTCAAAGGTTTTCTGATTTTTAATAAATGAAAAATGATTTCCTGTCATCTCCACTTGTCTGTTTACTCAAAGCAATCATAGCAGTTTTTATCTCCAAAGTAGATGAGGAGGGGTTAGAAATCATTTGAATTGATTCTTCATTTGAACAAAATCTTATATAGATTCATTTCAACTTTGAGGAACATCCTTCTTGTTTTGAGAGGCTGAGGGTCATACTGGCAGAAAATCAAAAATCAAAAAACTGAAAGAAATCAAAAATCAAAATGAATATCTGTCCTCTAACCACATTCTAATGGAAATGATTTCTACCAGCCTTTTATATTTCTTAGCTGCCCACCCCTATAACTTTCAATTCTCTCTGTTTTTTTTTTTTTTTTTTCTTTTAGGCTTGGATTCTGTCCTTATCCTACATCTTCAGAAGGTGATCACGTAGCAAACCTGAATAGCCGACAGCAGCCACATCCACCCCAGTTATATTTCTATGCATAAACATTGAGTGAGTTAATTCTCTTCCTAAGAAACTTTCAAAACACCTGTCTAATTCAACTCAATTCTACCACCATATCTACAACCTGAGACAGAACGTAAATTGGTGATTGTGATGAAGCACAGGTTTCATGCATTTAAAAATAAAAGTGAACATCTTTTCTTTTCTTCCCTCTAAGCCCCTTGGGACCTAGGACCCCAATCTTGCCAGGACAACAAACAGAGTATAACTTTCTACCTCTTCAATAGGTCTCTTTCAAAAAGAGCATTGCAAACTTTGTACCATAACGCCTATAGAAATCACTGTAGACTTCTCCGATGAAAAACATTGCCCTTTTCAATTTAGTTCCAGCTTTCCATTTCTGTCTTTTTTGGGGGAAGGAGCGTCCATCCCTCCTTGACGAAACATACAAAACACAATACATGTGTAACAACATCAGCTTTCTACAAACACGAGAAATACAGACAAGAAATAATTTAAAAGAGACACACAGATATATGGCAGAAAGAAAGAAGGAATTCTAAAAAGCCGCAAAAGGCGTGCAATGTTCACGTCGGAAGACCTCGATTATTACCTTGATCGAACAGTGGATATCCCCCCTGCGTCTTGGTGCCTTGATGGGTTTGGTTTAGTTTTGGATTTTATTAATAGTATTGTTTCTCAGTGATTGATTTGGCTGGGTTTGTTTTGGCTTTTGGCTTGGCTTTGTTGTTGTTGTTGGGTCGGTTTGTTTGTTTGGTTTTTGGTTGATTTATTTAACTGCTAGTAAACGGAGCTTTCTGCAGTGTCGGCTGGAGTTCCGCACAGCTGTGGCAGCCAGGGCTGCGGCGGCGGCGGCTCGGTCGCGGCTGGCGTCCCCGCTGCACCTGCTGCCGCCGGTCTCCGCTCCGGGCGCGCTCAGAAGGTGCCACCGCCGCCTGCTCCGCCTGGCCGGCCGCGGGGAGTGAACGCGCCCCCGCCTCCCGTCTGCCCTTCTGTCCGTCTGCGCGTCTGTCAGTCCGACCGTCTGTCGGTCCGACCAGCAGCTCCGCGCGGGATTCCCGCTAGCCTGCGCTCTGCTCTCGAAGCTGTCACTCTCGCAGGCTGCCAGTCTGCGCGCTGGTCTGTCCGTCCGTCCGAATCCCTCCGTCCCGCCAGCAACGCAGCGTCCCTCTTCCGGCCTCCTGTGCCCACGGTCCTCTCCCACTCTGCGCTCCTGGCCGCTGCGCGCGGTGCGAGGAGGGCGCGTGGAGGGTGGAGGCGCGCGCGTGCGGCTGTCTATCTCTCCCGGCGCCTCTCCCTGCCTACTTCACGCTCTCGCTCTCGCTGCGTTCTGGGCTCCCTCTCTCGGGCTGTCTGGCTGCTCCCACCTGTCCGTGGCGCTGCCAGTCCCACCCCTAGCCAGCCAGCCTCAGCCTCGGCCGATCCCTCGGTCCCGCTCCTCCTGTTTGGCCACCTCCGTCGTCTGCCCCTCCGCGGGTCCGTGCCCTCCCACGCGGCTGGCACTGCCGCCGGGGGCGGCGCCCGGCTCCTCCCCGCAGCCCCGGATGCGTCCGGTCCCCGCCCGGGCTGAGGGCAACGCGCGTGTTGCACGTGGCTCCGCAACTGCTCTGGCCGGAGACCCCGGGCCCCAGACCCGCCACACCCGGGAGGTGGCCGCAGCCGGGCGCCTGGAGGTGTCGCGGCTTCTGTCCCTCGGGGAGCATCCAGAACTGGCCCATCCAGAGGGATGGCACCTGCTGGGTGCGCCGGGCGCCCGCGGTACCACTCGTTCCCTGGGCTGTTCTCCGCCAGCCCTAAGGCTGGAGACAAAGCGCATGAGCCACGCGCAGCAGCGTGAGCATCATTAATCAGGGAGAAAACTGGCACGTTGCCCCCTGCCCCGCCACACCGCCTCCCTGCTCCCAGCCAGCAGGCAGGAATTCTCTCTCGTCCCCCGTGCCGGAGCCCTCCAGCGTACCCTTCTGAGGGGGCGCCCCTGGACTCCTGGGGACACTTGGCAAAGCCTTGCTCCACTCCCTCCAGGGCTCACTCTCCAGGCCAACTCTGCAGAGACAATCCCACAATAATAACACCTCGCCCCACCGGAATGAATCCGTAGCTGGGAGCTCTTGGAGATTCTCTGCTTTGACCCAGACTACAAGTCCGAGCGTGTAGCACCAAGTGTGCTCCTGGTGGATGACTGCCCACACCGCTGCCCACCTGATCGCTGAGTTGGAATCACTGAGGTGCCACAGAAGCCTCGGCAGGGTAGGACTTGGGGAAGGAACAGAGTTGACACCTGAAGAAATAAAAGCCTTGATTTTACCACTTGTTCTAGAGAGGCACTATTTTTATTATCTGTAATTCAGGTTTTTTTTTTTGTTTTTTTTTTTCCCATTGTCTCTGAGCACTCACTAACACACTACAAGGAGGGGGAAAAAAAAAAAAAAAAAAAAAAGGAAAAGGCTCAGTGAAGAAGAGTGAATAAATTTCCGGAACACCACCTATCCCTTCTGAGTGAATGTAGAGCCTGCTTTTCCAACATTATAGGTCACCAGCCAAGATATACCACTTTAGCTTTCTGCCCCTAGCTGAGATCAAAGGCATTTGAATCTGGGCTTCTTTGCAAGATTGTTATTAATGTGCAGCAAAATTATAGTTGTACACTCACACATGGAATTGCCAAAGCTCATTGTGACTGTATCCAGCAATTCGGTTTCTGAAATGTAGACACTGAATAACTCTGTATCTAGTGAAATGAACGCCCCATCTCACAATAAACTGAAGAGGAGAAATCAACTTTTACCAGCTGTAATTAGTAACCCCATGAATATACAACAAATAAATAACTAGCATATAAAACATGTCATGAAATTTTCCACATCCTTTTAGTTTCACTTATTGAACACCCACCCATAATGACAGACATTACAAACAGATTTATTAAGATAAATGCCTTTGCATTTGCATTATTACAGAAACCTGATTTCTATAGCTGTGACCGTGTTCATATGCGCTGATATTGATTACAAATCTCAAGTAAATGTTATGTGTACTTCTAGAAACTACTATAAAAATAGTATAAGGTTGTACCGACCCTTGATGAATAGGTAATTATTTTCCAACGATTCGAAATTGTCTCCCTTGGTGTTCAGCTCTCACCAGAATAAAAATGAATATGCTGTATGAGTTTCCAGACAAACCAAACCCAATGAATTCAGAACAGTTATGTTGATCTATATCCTTATCATTTTTACTTAGTCATCTCCAGAAGTGTTTTTTACAGGTATTTTCTCCTTCCTTCCAGAAATATAAAATTTAAAGGAAAATTATGAAAGCATTTCTAATTTAATACCCTTTCCTTCATCTCAAGGCATTCCGAAAAACCTATTTTTCTTTGGGGGAAATTGAGACTGCATAGGAAGAAAATTAGTGTATTTGACTTCTCTTCTGGACAGAACCATATCTCAGCATCTCCTGAATGGATAGACAGGTAATCTATTAATAGGAAATCTTAGCAGCTTGTTCATAACACAGTCTCTACCAAAAAAAAAAAATCAGAATTCACTCTGAGAGTTTATTTTTTAAAATGGAACCCAGTCCTATAAACTGGATTAGAAATTATAGCTATTAAATGAGGGGAGGGAGAACTCAGTATTCTTATTACAAACTCTAGTGATTATGTGAAAAAACAAAACTGTTTTCATAGCTTAACTGTGTATTGACAAACTTGATAACAATATTTATTGTAGTATTTCATGGATTTTAAGCTATATTTTATTTTATTAAAAGCATCCCAAAAAGTAAATTTAATTTGCTTCAACTAAATTTTCTATCTTTTCTCATAATATTTTGTCAACATAAACTGTAGAAGTCTCAAATTTATTTGAGGCTATGCAGATAATTAGCATTCAGCTACTCAACTTTAAATTTTTTATCCCAATGTGGGACCGAATTATACCCTTGGGAGTATTGGGCAGGCAGTGAGCAATAAGTGATTCTTCTAGGCATTCAGAAAGTATTTCTATTTTTTAAAAACAATTTAAGACAGTTACCATGCTTTAAGGCCCTTATACGGTATATATTAACCAACACTAAAGTAACTAAAACTATTGTCCTCCTCATTAGACCTCTGGGTGACAGACTGACTATGGCAACTGCAGATGTGTTTATGCATGAAGAGCACCCTAACTTGAGGAATGGGAGGCAGTACTTGGGAAAGAGGGAGTGGTCCTGTTACTCTCGTGGTTTGAGGGCTTTTGAGTTTATTTCGTATTATGTATGAAATGAAGGAGCATGCATGTAACCAGGTAACCCCAGCTTGGGGAGTTGAGCTCATCTACACACTGGAAAACATCTAAGATTGTTGACAAGCTCCTTTATACATATATTCCCCTAAGACACCAAATTAGTACCCTTTAATGAAGCTACCAAATTGGATTTTCAAAATAAGGCACATTGCTAAAATAGCCCAGCTACCTTTTTAAGCACCTTTTTAGCTGAAGCGAGAAGTAGAGTTTCCATGCTGTTGAGCTTCTATCACTCCTCAACAATTAGGCTGTGCGGAGCTCCCCTTCAGGGCATACTCCTGCACCACAATAAAGGCCCACAAATCCCCTAGAGAGACTTCTCATTTGCCCTGTTTCCAACGAAACAGTCTAGGGTCTATTAAATACCAGTCTTGGGTGTAAAGCTTTACAAATATGTGTGGTACCGAAAAGCAGGAGAAAAGCAAAAGAAAAAGCCCCAAAGAATAGCATTTCAACCAGAAAGTTTTGCGCCCCATTCTTATTTTGTGGAAGCCAAAATAACTCTAAAACACATTTCAGAACATCAACAAAGAATGTTACATCATGTATGCATCTGAGCATGAAGAAATGTCACGATCAAAAACAAAGAGGATTTGGGAGACTAGAAACCAAATGTTCTAATGGCACAGATCCCTTGATGGCAGCCATGTCTCTTCTGTAATAGGCTGTGTATAGGATGAGAAAATTATCTCCATGAACCCTTGGAGTTCTCACAGGCAGACTCCAGATGAATACCGGTCTGCACATGCACAAAGATGCTTTGCTGAAAATGCAAACCAAGAAATTTCCTAAAAAATGAATGTGTGTGGTGCTTTCACGGAGATGCATGAATCAGAGCAAGGACAATAAGAAGAAATAGGAGGAAACAGTAAAAGAGAAGGTTGGGAAATCTGTCACTAAAATATCTGAGCATCAAGAGGCAAGAAAGGTCGCTGACTAAATTTCCTATTTCTTTTCAGCATCTCTTAGGATAGATATACCATTTTTCAGACGCATCCTTAGTATTTGGGGGTTTTCTCCTCCTGGTCTACAGAGCACTGTGTTTCTTCCTCTGCCCTTCCAACCCAGAGAGATCTGTGGCTTTGGTGTTGCTAAGGCAGGCCAGGCAGCCAGCAGAGCACAGATGCATGGACTTTTTCTGATGTAGAGCAAGGCTTGAGGCAGGATGCCCAGTAGCAGGCCCTCTCTACCCAGCCTATGTTATCACTCCCTCCAGGACCTGCTTCAACACAAAGCGTTTGCAGTCTCCTATGGAACCCACCAAAGGTGTTTTTGATTTTTCAAAACCTGGCCTAGAATTGAAAGCAGAAGCATTAGAAGCATATGTGGGGAAAACAGAGGTAAATGTTATCCCTCTGAAACACAAGGAGTCGTCACAGAGCATAACCTAACATTTGCCAAACCACTCTCTGTGATCTTGCCTCTCTTACACTGCTGTTCCAGAGATCACACTTTCTTCCACGATGGACACAGTTCTACTTTATTCACAAAGAAAGACAAAGGTTACCAAACTATTCAGAACTTGGAATAATATATTTGGCTTCTCGCCCTTGAGATGACATTAAAAGGTCTATCAATTAACCACTAGAATAAAACAGCTTCAATCTATCTCTAATGAGGTACAGTACACTTATGTGTTTAAACTGTTCTCCATACCTTAAATGGTGTGTGTGTGTGTGTGTGCAGTCAAAAGGTGAAACACATTCATAGTATATTCATAGTGTGAATATGTTGTGTGTGTGTGTGTGTGTGTGCATGTAGTCAAAAGGTAAAACACATTCATAGTATATTCATAGTGCTAATATGCTGTGTGTGTGTGTGTGTGTGTGTGTGTGTGTGTGTGTGTGTGTAGTCAAAAGGTGAAACACATTCATAGTATATTCACAGTGCTAATATGCCAAAAGAGAACTTGGATCTTCCTGGAAACCCAATTGTAGGCTCAATACAGCATCTGAAGAAAAACAACGATGTACAGATACATAATTCTGCATAAAGGTACAACTTGTTCTCCAAAGCTACTCTAAAAGTTTCTGTCTTTTCAAAATAGATGTACATTTGCAAATTGTATAGATATTTGTTAAAAAAAAAAAAAGTGAGTG